TTAGAGAATTACGTTTGCAATTTACAAAGTAAACATCCGTGTGTTCTTTATTGTTTCTTTTAGGGTGCATTTAGACAGATGACTACGTACTTACTTAATTATGCATTTATGCTGGTTCGGATTTTAGAAAATGACCTCAAAATTTTACATTAACTCGGTTGATTATTCTATTATGATAGAAAAATTATTTAAATTAGGCATACGAAGCTCTAACTTAAAACGTTTTTTTTTTCTTATTTAACAGGTCGCTTTCAAATTAGAATTAAGGGAAATTTTTCTGAACCATTTCAAGTTAATTCAGGGGTACCTCAAGGGTCTCACTTGGGACCACTACTTTTTTTACTCTTCATTAATGATATAAATCAAGGTTTGAAACATTCTAAGTTTCTTTTATTTGAAGACGATATTAAATTATTTTCTATAATAAAATCCCCTCTTGATCAATCTAATCTACAGAAGGATCTAGATGTAATTATTAACTGGACAATTGCGAATAAGCTATCTTTGAATACTGAAAAATGTTCGGTATTAACTTTTTATAGAGGTCATAAATTTGAAACTAACTATCTTGCAAACAATATTTCTTTGGGAAGAGTTATAGAACAAAAAGATTTAGGTATAGTTTTTCAAGAGAATTTTGAATTCGATATTCAATTGAAAAATACTGTTAACAAGGCTTTTAAAATCCTAGGTTTTTCAGCCAGTAAATTTAAGTTTGACACTATTATTTATTTGTACAAGACCCTGGTAAGACCTATAATGTTTTATAATTCTCAAATCTGGTCTTCACATTATTTAACCATGATAATGAAAATGGAAGCTGTTCAGCACAAGTTTTTAGATTCTTATCTTACAAAATTGGCAAACCCATGTCTTTCTCTGATCATGATTACGTTAATATTGCTGGTTTATCATCTGTAAAGTCACTACATGATTATTATGATTTCTTATTTATGAAAAGAATTTTCAAAATACTTAGTGACACAGGTAGAGTAACTAATCCGCTCTTAAATATTTTTAAAACCAAAGATGGTGTTTATAAATTAAGATCAGTACGTACCTTTAGGGAAATTAATTCAAGTAAAGATTATATTTTTCATTTTCCTTCTTTTAGACTAAAAAGAGTTTGGAATAAATTTCCTGAGGCTTGTTGTTAATTTTAGACAGTTTAAGAATGAGCTATTAAATTATGTGATTAACTATCAATAATTAATTATATATAATTATCCTATTTATGTTCAATTATACATTTCTCTACCAATACATATTTATATTTATAAATTGTTATGATTTTGTAAAAGGGCTTTTCAGCCCGTTGATTAAAGAAAATAAAATTAAAAAAAAAAAAATTAGGACTTCAGACAAATTCGGTCTGTAGAAATTAATAGGTAGGTATTAAAAACAGTTTATTTTGCACCTGCAAAAGAAAATAGTTACAAATAAGCACATAATCTCAAAAATATTTGGATTCTTCGTCCTTTTAAATAAACAACTAAAATTTGCTCATTTTCGTACAATACTGAACTAATATAGTGGTGGATTTAGATGTCACCCCCTTCAGAATTAGAAAGCCTCATGCCCACGTCTTGGGTGCGTAATCTTATTTTGCATCGGTAATAACTAGAACTAATTAATAATCAATCAAATTATTCACGCGGTCAAGAAAAAGTTTTATAAATATTGTTTCTTCAAAATAGTAAGTTGGCCCCTGACTTTCAGGCTAAAACTTTTTAGGAGTTTTCATGATACCTACGCTGCCGATTTCTGTTGTAAACACCCTGTACCACCTGTACAAAAGTCCATAATTTATCTTAGTCAGAAAACAACAGATTACCTTTGGTAGCATTTTGTGACCCGATTAAAACCGGAAACGGTCATAAGAGACCGTATTGTATGTATATATTTAGGACCAACCTGTCTTATAGTAAGGGATCACAATGATATATTAGTAACTAGGAGCCTAAAAGCTCATCTACAAGGATCAGTCAACGCGAATACCTGCACAGGAAATGTTTGTCTGACATCTTGTACAGAAGCTCCTATTATATATAATATATATATATTTTTTAAGAAAAATATTTCTG